GAACAAATAAAAAAGTTCCAATAGACCAATTAGAGAAAATGGTGTAATCAAGAGACTTAATTTTCAAGGTTCATAAAGAAAATTCTAATCGAACAAAGATGCAACGACAAAAATTGGGAGATCACAATTTTCTGTGGGTAAATGTAGTAATTTAATTTAGGATTAATTATATTGAAAGTCCCTAAAATATGAACTTTATTTCTAATATTTCGATTGCATCTTTTTTATCCTTGAAATATTGAATATATTTCTATATGGTCATTTAAGAAGATAACATTTAAATTGTTAACGATTTTTTTATCATAAACTTTTCATGTGATACCTAAAAATGGGAAAAAAATAATTTGAATAGCTCTTGATCAAAATTTAGGTAGCTCTTGACCCAAAAAATGTGTAATAAGAGTAGCTATTAACCAATATTTGGATATGTCATGATCAAAACTGTGTAATTCTGGAGCTCTTTCACCAAAATTTGGATAAAAATTTGGTCAAGATTTTTCTAAATTAATTTTTTGCTCATATTTAAATATTAGATGACAAGTTTATAAAAAAATTATTAGTCATCTGGACGTTGTCTGTTTGAAAGACCATATAGAATATATTCAATATTTCAGTGACTAAAATGATATAATTAAAATATTGAGAATTAAAATGAGACAAAACATGTATTAAAATAATTTAGTTATCCCACATGATTGCACATGCAAATCTAATAGAACATGAAATCTAAAATACGATATCTGACACCATTTCTTTTAGAGGTTGGTATGCGACAAACATGTGATTCAGAGATTTTCTTGCTGGGATTCGATTCCTCTCTAATTTTTAAACAGTTACGGGATCATTGAAACTCATCTTGACAGGTGAGAATCTGTTCATATCAACAAACTAATTTTTATTAAAAAAATAAATCACAAACTTAAATTGTAAAATAAACTAAATTTGTTAATGTATAGAGCTTTAATATTATAAAGATAACTCGTTCTTCTCCCACCCTTAGTGGTGATTCAGTGGTCAAGTTTGTTTTCTTTAAAATAACAAATCTTAGGTTTAGTATTTCCCACACTCTCCATGGACAACCATTTTTGCTCTTCATAAGACATATTTTTAAACTAACTCGAATTACAGTGACTTGCTTAGAGCTTGAGAGAGTAATCGATTGAGTTCGAAAGAATAATCAACGCAAGCTTAAACAACTTATAACAAAAAAAGAATAAGATTTGTTCTCAAGTACAAGTTTCGACTATTCCATGTTTGGAATTTTGTTAAAAGAAGAGCACAGATTAGGACACTCAATTGCTACGTTATTTTACGTTTGGAATTACTATGCCTAACTAGATGTTTAGTGATTTGAAATCAGTACATGCACGTGACTGACCCACGTGCCAATATGATGGTCCCTTGGAACGTGAAAAAATAAAGTCGAGCTCGGCATAATCACTATTCATAATTGCGAAGATCAATTTATTACGAAGAATGAGAGGAGATGTTATATTGATAAGAACAAATCTTGGGTAAACATTATTCGTGTTCCCGAATAAAAGGCTTGATAAGGGATGACACGAAGGATCCTGACTTTGATAACTAACAATCCGACTAAATGTAAGATAAACTACCTCACAATGCAAGAGCAGAGAAACTCTAGAAGGGGTTAAAAACCGTTATAAATTCTGAGTAGATTAAAGTCAAAAATACGCACTATATTTTTCTGTAAATTACCTCTGATCATAAACTTCTATTAAATTAAGTATTAGAGTATCTTCGACCAATCCATCCCGATCTCTAACAATTTGTTCATTTCTTAAAGGGGAGTGGTGTAGCGTTTCTTGTTCGACTTTTTCCCACCAAATCAGTAAAATAAGAAGACGTTCTTTTAACTCCTTGCAGACACTTAGCCCAAACTTTAACGCACCCAACTTGATCAAAAAAAACACTTGTAATAGAGCCAGAATATTGAGTGTTTGGCTATTGTGCCTTAATATAAATATGTATATATATAAAATTGTTACCGTACCACTTATTATATTTTGGGTGGATGTTATTATATTGTGGACCTCAACTCAAACTCTGTTTTGGATCTCTTTCTCTCTCTTCTCCCTTGCCTGCCCGGCCGCACCCCCTTTACCTTGAAGTCTATATAACAGAAGACATGCACGTTCCCGTAGCTTAGAAAACACACTTACAAAAAGAAACCATTTACAAGCTAAAAAACAGGCACACAAAGTAAGAATGGGAAAAGCAATGGATTCAGAAGTAGATGCTGCAATAATAGGCCAAGCAAATATATTGCAATACCTATATAGCTCTGTGGAATCCATAGCTTTGAAGTGTGCCGTGGAGCTCCGCATACCGGACATCATACACTCCCATGGCCGCCCAATGACCCTGACCCAAATCGCCATTGAAATTGGTTCTACTTCTCCCTCACTGAACATCAACTGCCTGGCTCGCATCATGAGATTCTTGGTCCACAAACAAGTGTTCGACGAAATGTCTCAATCCAATAATGGAGAGTCTTTGTACAGTTTGAACCAGTCCTCAAAGTGGCTGTTACAGGACGCCGAGCAGAGCTTGGTCCCCTTGGTGTTCATGCGCAACCACCCGTTTATTACGTCTCCCTTCCAGTGCCTTAGCCAGTGCGTGAAAGAGGGCGGCACTGCTTTCCAGAAGACCCATGGCCGAGAGATGTTTGAGTTTGCTTCTGTAAATCCTGAGTTTAATTTGCTGTTCAACCAAGGCATGGCATGTACAGCGAAGATCACAACGAAGGCAATGATTTCAGAGTATGGAGGAAGTTTTGATTCGATTGGATCTCTGGTTGATGTTGGGGGTGGGACTGGAGCTGCGGTAGCTGAGATTGTGAAAGTGTATCCACATATCGAAGGAAAAAAACTTTGATTTGCCCCATGTAGTTGCTACAGCACCAGTATATAGCGGAGTAACCCATGTTGGGGGTGACATGTTCAAGGCCATTCCTCAGGCTGATGCGATCTTCATGAAGGTAAAGCTCTCACCTTAGTAAATAGCTAAATACAGTTGCAAATCAACCAAGTAAATCATGAATTACTATGGGGACGGTGAAGATAAAACTGGTTCATATATTCAATGTTTTCTCATAAGTGAGTCAAACCCGATGAAGGGCACTTTAGACTCGTGTGTCAGTGCATCTGTGCATAATAAATTTAAACATAATATGTTTCATATATTTTGTATATTTTATATGTAATGTAATTTAAATCTTAAAAGATAAACAAAATAATTTTTGTTATTTGCGGTTGAGAGTTCTTTAAATTTTAGTTTAAAGTTAATCTAACGGCTAATATTAACACCCTAAATTTAATAGAAAAAATAAGCACACAAAGGTGTGTTTAGAATGACTTTTTAAAAATACTTCTAAAATTATTTCTTATAAATATATATTTTTTAAAAATAGTGTTTGAAATCGCCCTATCACCTCTACCACCATCACCACCACCACCACCACTTCTACCACCACCGCCACCACTGTCGCCGCTGTCACAATCACCATCACCATCGCCGCCACCATAACTGTTGCCGCCGCCACCACCACCATCGCCGCCCCCCCCCCCCCCCCACTACAACCACCATAGTCATTGTCACTCACCACAATCATCATCATCTCCTACCTGCACTAGTGCCACCCACCACCTTTTACTCCCATTACAAATTAATTTTTAAATTTCTTTATCTTTTCTCTATATTGTGATTTAATTTTTGGATATAAATATAAATATATTTATTACTTACCACTTTTTATTACTTTTGTATCTTCAGGCACAGACAATAACTAGTATATCTATATAATAAAGTAACTTACAATTTAAATCTCAAAAGATAAACAAAATGATTTTTGTTATTCGCAATTGAGATCATTTTAAATTTTATTTTAAAGTTAATCTAACAGCTAATATTAAAAATTCTAAATTTAATAGGAAAAAATAAACCTCTAAGGGTGTGTTTGGAGTAACTTTTTATAAGTGTTTCTAAGAATTATTTCTCATAAGTACTTTTAAAAAAATATAATATTATTTTGAACCACTTCACCACTACCTTTTACCACTATTACCACCACCACTGTCACCCTCACCACCACCACCATTGTTGCTGCCACCACTATCGCTACCACCGCCACCGCCACCTCTACCTCCATCGTTGCCACCACTGTCGCCACCATCGTCGTCGCTGCCACCCCCACCGCTGCCACCACCCCCCACGTCCACCGTCACCCCCACCACCGCCCTTGCCGTCACCACCACTGCCACTGACACCACCACCGTCACCTCCACCTCCACCTCCATCACCACCACCGCCACCACCATCACCAATACCACCCCCTATCATCATCGCCGCTGCCGCCACTACCACCACCACCACTACCGCCCACTATCTATCATCCTCACTACAAACTGATGTTTAAATTTTTTTTATCTCTTCTTTATGTTTGCGATTTAATTTTGGATATGAATACAAATATATTTATTGTTTACCATTTTTTATTACTCTATGCCTTCAGGCACAGACAATAACTAGTATATATATACAAAGGCTAAGCTTGGTTTGAATGAAAACTTTAAGCTCGAGGTCAGTTTTTTTAACGCAAATGAACGAAAAAGTTTATAAAATGATGTGACATAATTATAGTTATTAAATAATTAATTAAAATTAATATAGACTTGCTAATTTAACAATTCATATTGATTTAATAAACAAAATTCGGCAACCTTTTTGGTAAGTGTAGTATTGTTGATTGATTTAATCAATTGAAGTGTGCCAAGCTAAGTTTGATGTGACAAAAAAACTAGCAATTTGAGATTGAATAAGATGTTTAAAGCTTATCATACTCCCATATATGTCACGTAAACAAGCAAACGTAGCCAAATAATTTGATACTGAGCTCAGTTCTATTTATTTACACTTGGTGCATCTACACATATAAATTAATATTAGTTTAGAGATCTGCAGTTGATAGTATTATTTCAATGCAGTGGATCATGCACGACTGGAGTGATGAAGATTGTATCAAGATACTGAAAAATTGTCGAGAAGCAATACCAGAAAAAACTGGAAAGATTATAATTGTGGAGGTAGTTTTGCAGCCGGGCGGTGATGGTCCATTTGACAAGGTAGGCCTGATGCTTGATCTGGCGATGCTCACCCACTTTTCAGGGGGGAAAGAGAGGACTGAGGTTGAATGGAAAAAGATACTAGAGGAAGGAGGCTTTTCAAGTTACAAGATCATCAAAATCCCAGCACTTCAGTCCATCATTGAGGCCTATCCACTGTGACTTGGTGGCTGTTTAAACGTTTTTCTGTATGTTTTGACTTGTGAGCTACTATTTACTATAGGTTATAAGGTCACCTGAATGTAATATGAATTAATAAACCTAAGTTTTCAATGGCTCAAAGAGCTAGGCCCTTTTGGAAGTAAATGTTGATTTTGATTTATGGATGGTGAGTATTCTGTATTTATGATTTGCATTAGGGGTGTTCAAATTTCGTCTACCCAAACTATTCCGACCCTATTTGACCCGATTATTTGAATTCCGTAAATTTTTGGCCGGCTTATGGAACAATTGTAGTATTTCACAAATGATTGGGTAGGTATGGGGAGTACCTATATCTTCTTTTTTAGTCTCATTCTCACTAGGGGTGTCAAACGTGTCGGGTTAAACGGGCGAAAAATATGTAAATTCGTACACGACACGTTTAATAAATGGGTAAAAAAATTAAACACGAATCGTTTAATAAACGGGTAACACAACACAACTCGTTTAATTTTATTAAAATTTTAACCCACACCAAAAAACTATTTTATTAAAATTTTAAACTCTACTAATTACTTACAACAACTAAACTCTTTTAATTAAAAGATTTATAATTGGCTGCCACTTGCAAAAGCAAGTGAGAAGATTGAATGACTAAAGAAAGGGGTTGTAGCCTTTTAGAGGCATGGAAGGTCTCCTTCATTTAAATTTGTCGATGTAGGATTCAAGACAAAAACTTTCACTGTGTTCTCCTTCTTTCATTGTGTTCACTGTGCAGACCCTCCAGCAATGCTCAGACCAAAGCTCAGATCATCGCAGCCTCCAGCAACACCACTGCAGCTTCCCAAACTTAGACCAAGCTCCATCTTATTTGCGCCAGCCAGAAATAGAGAACAAAGAAGCAAGAAATGCTAGGAAAAAACATAGAGAGATAAACCAGAAATGCTGACTAAATTTTTTAAAATAATTATTAATTTTTTAAACGGGTTGACAGGTCTCACCCGAACACGACCTGTTTATTAAACGTGTTTAACGAGTTAACACGTTTATCCCCCGAACTCGTTAAAGTCTCACCAAAACCCGCTTAAGTTATATCGATTCGTGTTGGTTAATTGTGAGGTCTATCTCTCACACACATTCTCTATCCTCTAAATTTATATTTATTATATAGTAAACAATTAATTTAAGAGAGAGAGTACTTAATTATGAAACTCTCTCTCATCAACTATTATATTTTTTAATTTTAAATTATTTAATAACAATACATTGTTTTCATCAAATTAAATCATTTCATATTGTTTATGCAACTATTCCAACTAAATTATTTTATTTCATCTTCCTTAACTTAGTACAGTAATGAATACTTTTCTAAATATACTAGGATCAGAGTGGGGCTGGGAGTGGGATGAGGGGTGGCAATAGGGGTGAGGATGGAGATGGCGGTGGCAATTACAATGGTAAAATTATGATGAAGGAGATTGAAAACATGGTGCATCGCTTGAGACACCACTAATAATAAAATATGCAGATGTACTTTTCATTTCGTCTGTTTTTCTATGAATACAAAATATAAAGAAAATTCATTCCTCTTCTTTTCAACCATCTCTTTCCAGTGAGCATATGAAAAGTACATCTCTTCTATTTTTTTTTTTTTTCGTTTGCGTGTTTCATTCATCTTACAAAACAGCCTATTAGTCTCGCTAGTTTTTACATTCCTCCAATTACCTAAGTTCATTTAGAGTTGAAAAATGTATTTTTGAATCTAATTTTCACGAGTCTCAACTAATAATGAGATCTACTATCAATCCAATGATAACAATGACTAGATAAGCAAACTAGATTCATGTAGTATTGTTGTTTAGAGTTATGGTAGCAATTAGTGGTGAATTGTGTGATTATTATCTGTTTATTTAATCTGAGGCTTCAAATTCTAGTATAGCCAGGCTCAATCCGAATTGAGTGTCATAGGTTTGAGCCCGACTCGAGCTCACGTCTAAATCATATGCTTAGATTTTGAATCAACACAGCTCATTTTTTCTTTTCACAACAGCTCGAATTTAAACTAAGACTCAAGACAACAAAAATAATGAAACATATGTTCAGTGATACTCAAGCTCGCAATTCCTTAATTAAAAGTCGAATGCCTCATCCATTAAATAAAGAGGTACCCATTTTGAGTTTTTCATTATGAAAAAAATCTTTATATTTATCATAATAGGAATCAAGCTTGAGCCTATGAAGTTAATTGGTACATTTCTGGCTTGAGCATTAGCTAATTATAAATATAAAAAATAAATTGATCATTCTTGACTAACTTTCTAGTAGAATGAGTTTGAATAAGCCGAGTTCAAGCAATTCGATGGTTTAGCATGCTTAGTACTAAAAATTGAAATACATGGTAAAAATGATGAAGCACCCTGCACTATCGATAATAGGGTGGTTAGAGATTTCTGCTGATTCTTAATTCCAATTAAGGTGAAAATTTGATCTGTATGTGAAAACTTGCCAAACTACTTCAAACTGACGTGTTCTTAAACTTGACTCGAGCAATGGTAAGTGTCAAGCAACAACGGTAAGATTGTGTGTTTAAATATGAACACAGTTAACTTATGCTAAATCACGTCAAAAGTTGACGTGATTTGTGTCCAATCTCT